TTGGCCCCCAAAAATGAAAAAAAAAAAAAAACTTTTCACAAAAAAACTAATTTCACTGTTTTTTGATCATGACACAAAATGACCAGCTAACATTAACTGACTAATCATATCAGCAGCACATGTGAAAGTGTGAATGAGTACTAGTCAGGTAAAATCACTATCATATTAATTAGATTGTAAGACCAGACTGATTGCTATAAAAGGAGGGAAGAAGCGCTCCAATCATTGTGTTATTGTTAGCAATGGTTACCTGCAAAGAAACATGTGCAGCTATCATCGCTTTGCATCAAAATGGCCTTACATGCAAGAAAATAGCTACAAAGAATATTGCACCTGAAAGAAGCATTTACCGGATCATCAAGAACTTCAAGGAGAGAGGTTCAACTGCAGTGAAGAAGTCTTCAGGACATCCCAGAGTGTCCAGCAAGTGCCAGGACCGTCTCCTCCTGAGGAGTCAGCTGCGGAATCGCATCAACTCCAGTGACATTTGCTCAGGAATTGCAGCAGGTTGGTGTGAGAGCATCTGCACGCACATTGAGGCAAAGACTTTTGGGCAACGGCCTGGTGTCAAGAAGGGCATCAAAGAAACCACTTCTCTCCAAGAAAAACGTCAAGGACAGACTGAAATTGTGCAGGAAGTACAAAGATTAGACAGCAGAAGACTGGTGCAAAGTTATTTTCTCTGATGAAGCTCCCTTCCGACTGTTTGGGACATCTGGAAAATCGATTGTTCAGAGAAGAATAGGTGAACGCTACAATGAGTCCTGTGTTGTGCCAACAGTGAAGCATCCTGAGATCGTCCATGTGCGGGGGTTGCTTTTCAACCAAGTGAGTGGGTCTTCTCATAATTCTGCCCAAAAACACTGCCATGAATAAAGAATGGTATCAAAACGTCCTGCAAGAGTGACTTCTTCCAATGATCCATGAGCAATTTGGTGATGATCCGTGCATTTTCCAGCATGATGGAGCACCATGTGTTAAAGAAGTGGCTCGAAGAACATTACATTGAAATTTTGGATCCATGGCCTGGCAACTCCCCAGATTTCAATCCCATAGAGAACCTGTGGTCAGTCCTCAAAAGGCGAGTGGACAAGCAGAAGCCAATCAACTTCGTGATCAACTTCGAGAACTAAAAAGGCAAGAATTGATCATCATCAGTCAGGATTTGGCACAGAAGCTAATATCCAGCATGCCAGAGCGAATTGCAGAGGTTATGAAGAACAAGGGTCAACACTGTAAATATTGACTCATTTTATTTTGCCAATAAATGCCTTTAAAACTTATGATATGCTTATCATTGTTTTTCAGTATACCATAGAAACATATGGAAAAATAATCTACAAATACTGAAGCAGCAAACTTTTCAAAACACAAAATTTATGTCACTGCCAAAACTTTTGGCCATGACTGTATCTATTTCAAATGGGTGTACCGCAGTTGTTTTTTGTTCAATTCCAACAAATCATTCATTATTTAAGTTTTTTT